CCTCTCCCGATCCAAGCCTCTCAGAAGAGGTAGGGGGTAAGAAGGAGGGCCTCCTCACATAGCTGGGGGAGGGGCCCCCGGGGGCCCCCTCCTCCTGCTGGCTGTCTCCTCGATGGAGTTGATGGGGGCCCCCGCTGCTCCCAGAGTTACCAGCAGAGAGGAGGGGGTCATCAGACTGCTGCTTGTTGCTGCTGATGCTGCGGAGAGGGGATTCATCCGCAGCAGCAGCAGCAGAAGCAGCAGCAGCAGCAGCACTATCAGTTGCTGCTGCTGCTGCTGCTGTAGAGCTGCAGCAGTAGCGGCGCAGCAAAGGAATCCAGCTTTGGGTCTGCTCGGGGACGCGGGGCTCTTTTGTCTGCTGCAGTGAGGGGGCCCCCTCTGGTGTGAGTTCGCTTCTGCTGCTGCTGTTGCTGTTGCTGCTGGCGTTGCTTCTGGGGCTGCTGATTCTGCTGCTGTTGCTGCTGCTGCTGCAGTTGCTGTTGCCTCTGCTGAGGGGTAAGCGTGAGGGGTGTACTGAGTGCTGCTGCTGCCACTCGGAGCCAGAGAAAGAAGGAGACAGTGTCTCCTCCTCCCATGAGGGGGCCTGGCTAGAGACAGGGTTGCAGCAGAAAGGAGACAGGGGAGAGCAGCGCAGTGTCTCCTGCTGCTGTCTCCCCTGCTGTCTCCTCCAGGGTGCATTGGGGGCCAACAGACGGAGAGCAAGGGGCTCCTTGTGTGCGCCGTGTTGCTGCTGCTGCTGCTGCTGTCTCCTGTCTCCTTCTCTTATCTGTATCTCCTCCTGCAGCACTTGTGCTGTTATAGCTTCATATGCTTCTCTACATCTTTCGTTATAGCTGCGGGGTTTTGCTGCTGCTGCTGTTGCTGCTGAAGCGTCTCCGCGTCTCCGCTGCTGCTGCTGCTGCTGCTGCTGCTGCTGGTGCTGGTGCTGGTGCTGGTGCTGCTGGTGGTCTTGGTGATGGTAGTAGTGATGACGGTGTCTCCTTCTATGAGCCGCAGCAGCAGCAGCAGCAGCAGCAGCAGCAGGAGGAGACAAGGAGACAGAAGAAGGTATGGATAGAGAGTCAACATAAATCCCCAGTCCCTCTATAGATATAACCTTACAAAAGGTATCCTCAGCCAGCCCCCCATTGGCTCTGCATACACCTGGCTCAGAGAAATCAGCTCCTCTTGGGGCTGCATGCAGCACAGCACTTTTTAAACATATACCAAGAGCAAAGGGTTTGCTGCTGATACTATATCTATCTTCTATTCGTATATGTACATTGGATAGGCGAGCAGTAAAGGAAGACAACAGCCGCAGCAGCAGCTGCCATAGTAAACCTCTCTCTAGAGAAGAAAATAAAGCTTTATATTCTCCTGCTGCTAGTGCTGCTGTTTTTTGTTTTTTATATTGATCTAAAAATATACAAGGATTCCATTCTTCACTCGGCTGTACAGACAACAATAATATTATATTATTTATATTTGTTATGAGGGGAGATGCAGTACCCAACGCATATAAAGGTATATCTATATCTATAAGCCCTATATAATTAAACTCAGCCACCAAAGGTAAACCTAAAGAAATAAATATTTTTTCTTTTAGTTGAATATTATTTAATATTAATTTTCCTTTCAATACACCCGAAAAGTCCAACTGGTTTCTATCTAAACATTCTATATACTCGCTAGCCACATCATTAAGTATAGATACCAGTGCTGCTGCCATTCTCCTTTACTTTATATTATTTTTTTTTATTTATTTTTATTTATATTCTCCTCCTCCTCCTGCTGCTGCTGCTGCTGCTCGGTTTGCTTCAGATGCTGCGGCCGTTGCTGCTGCTGCTGCTGGTTCTTGTGCTACTGCTGTTGCTTTTGCTGCTGATGATCTTGCTGCTGCTGCTTCTGCTGCTGTTGCTGCTGCTGAGGCTGCTGCTGCTGCTACTGTTGTCGCTACTACTTATGATGGGAATTATGACGATGCTGGGGCTGCTGCTGATGCTGCTGCTGCGGTTGCTGCTGATGCTGCTGCAGCTTGTGCTGCAGCTTGTGCTGCAGCAGCAGCAGCAGCAAACAAGCAGCCCGGAGCCTTCCAGTTGACGCAGTGAAAAGGAGACAGAGAAAGAGACAAAAAAGGAGACAGAGAAAGAGAGACAAAAGGAGACGGAGACAGAAGAGAGACACTTGTACAGCTGGCTGCTGGGCCCTTTTGCTGCTGTCTCCTTAGAGAGAGAATGCTGCAATTGGGGTGTATAGGGAGGGGAGCAGCAAGCTGCAGCAGAAGATACTGCAGCAGAGGAGACAGCAGCAGAGGAGACAGCAGCAAGACACAGGGGCCCCCCTGGCCTCCTGCAGATACAAAGAGCGAAGGCCCAAAGCCGCCTGCGTCTCCGTGCAGCATCGAAACGATGTGAAGCAGCAGAAGCAGCAGCAGCAGCAGCAGCAGCAGCAGCAGCAGCAGCAGCAGGAGCAGCAGGAGACAAAGACAGGGAAGCCGTTGCTTCAGCAGCTCATTTTACACCTCTGGGTAGCTGCGGGGAGCAGCAGCAGAGCAGCAAGCTCCTGCAGCTGTCTCCAGCAGCAAACTGCTGCTGCTGCAACCAGCAGCAACCTGCTGCAGCTGACTCCGCCTCTGCTGTGCCTTTGAGGGTCCCCACAAACTCAGCAGCGCGACGACGAGACGAGAGCAGCAGATGCTGCAGCTGCTGCTGTTGCTGCTGTTGCAGCTGCTGCGGCGGCTGGTGGTGTTGCGGATGCCCCTGCTTCTCTGCTGCTGCTGCTGCGCTTGACGGGGTGGTGCTGTGCAGCAGGGGTGGCTGTGCTACTGGGTTTGCTGCTGCTGCAGCAGCTGCTGCTGTTGCTGCTGTTGCTGCTGCAGTTGGTGATGGGGCTCGAAGCCCTCGTATAAGCAAAGGAAGGAAGGAGAAGGAAGAGCAGGGGACCGCTGGGCCCCCTTATGCTGAGCAGAAGGTGGCGGTGTGTATTGGGGTGTATGTGTGTGTGCGTAGACAGCAGAATAAAATACTTCTTTTGAGTCAAATTGCGGGGGAAAGGGAGAAATAAAACCTCAAAAAACTCAAGAAAACGATACAGAGGTCCCTATACACCCGAAGGTGTCGCAGTACGTGGCTCGGCAGCTGTTGAGAGAGAGGCCCAGCTGTAGCTGTACGTACACCCGAGAGCTCCTGTCGACAGCAGAAGCAAAAGAGATAAAAAACTATATCTATATAACAAACAAAGACAACTTCATCTCCCTGTCTCCTCCAGAACTCCTCTGCTGCTGCTGCTGCTGCTGCGCAGCCGCTCCGACCGCTGCTGCTGCTGCTGGCGAGGGCTGAACAGACCACTGCAGCAGCAGCAGCAGCAGCTGCTGCTGCTCTTCTTCTTCTCAATGTGACGGCGTGGGAATATTGTTTATAAACAACTGTTTTTAGGTGTATGTGCAGCACCAGTATATCTATATAAATACAACATATCAGTGGGGCGCAGCAACAGCAGCGGGGCCCCCTGCTGCTGCTCGGAGACAGGGGCCCACCACCCATCGTGCACTGCCTGCGCTTCTGCTGCTGCTGCTGCTGCTGCTGCTGCTGTTGCTGTTTCTGCTGCTTTTTATGCTTGACGGGATCGCTGTCGTGGGGCCCCAGGCAGGTACGCTTGCTGCTCCCTTTCCTTCAATAGCGGGTCTCCTGTCTGTATGTCTCCTTCTCTTGACCCTGCAGCTGCCACCTTCGACGCACTGGAGCTGCTCCACCAGCGAGCTGTCTCCTCGGGCCCTCAGTATCAGTGAGGAGACAGCTGAGAAAAGCTCAGAGGGACGCCTGGCTGGCTCTGCACGGCCCCCGTCTCCTCGCCGCTGTAGCCAAGCAGCATGGCCTGTGTGAAGCCGGTACATCTACTTCTACTTGCGTGCAGGCTGGCACCTGAGGGCCCAGGAAGTGTTAGCCAGTTGTATATAGTGTTAGTCCATGCAGCAAGGGGGTTTATTGTATGTATGCGTGTGGGGTTGCCGCGCAACACTACCTTCAAGTAAGTATTTGCATTGCAACTTATGTTAGCACGAGTCCTCCGCCTTTCCCGCATCTCCTTGGGTTGATGGGCCCAAGTAGCCTGCATGCAGGGGAGTAGGTAAGTTGCTTTCTAGACACTTTCATCTTAATCACTTTGACCAGGTAGCAGGCAAGTGTGGAGAGAGGCCGCGATGGTAATCCCCGACTCTCTTCACACTTGACGGCGCTGCACAGTTCATCAGGGGAGCTACGCGCAAGGAACTTTCCAAGCCAGCGAGGCTTGGTCTATAGCAGTGGTTGGGAGCGAAGGCCCTTTAAACATGTACGAGACAAAACAAATTTTAAACATTTCCCCAAAATATGTCGGAGACAGCTCCTCTCCCCCCGCGTAGAGTTCACATTGCTCAGGCTCTGCGCTCCAGCTCCAGCGGCCTGGAAGTTGTCAAGTTGAAACAAGTGCAGTACCTGCATCCCATTCACCGGCGAATGTTTTTCTTACAAACATTTCGTAGTGAATGCCTCCGCCTTTGCCTACTCTTTAAACACGACGACCGAGCGCGATGAGCAGCAATGGAGGAGTTCCTTGCTTCTACCGACTCTTACCTTCGTCTTCAAGACGAATCCAACATGTTACAGTTTCTATTCGCACCTTGCACACCAGGAGCATGAGGGTCTTCGAGTAAGCGCGGGGATGCATGCATATGAGCCCCAGTTTTTCTTTTATTAATGCATTTCTTGCTACCGGACTATCAAGGCAAGAGTGTATGTCAGAACTGAGAAAACTTGAACAAGGGAAGTTATCGATAGAGCGATACATCGAAAAGTATAAGTCGTTCACAAGAAAAACTCCAGTTGCTGACTCGGTAGATGACAGGGAAGAGAACACACTTGATACACCAGAAGCAGAGGCTATGGATATTGGGACTGTGAGTTCCAGCCCCGTCCAAAAACGTTAAACGGCGAAAACAGGCAGCAGCCGGCGCCCCGGGCAATATGAAGGCCCGAGAAAGGTACCGAGGGTTGTATCTGCTTCTTGTGGAGCAAACAACTCCAGGCACTGAGAGATTGAAGGCACGTCAACGGGCTTAGAAGATATCGAGACTCTGAGCAAGGAGCTTGCATAGTGATGGTTTATATAGCATAGCCGTGACAAAAAAAGTGTTTAAAAGGTAGAGCCTGAGGCTACTGAGGTCGCCTACGCCAGCCCCGCCCATAGAATAATAGAAAGCGAGAGCAGACGGCAACCGTGGAATTCGGCACTCAGCGAGCAGGGTGGACGCAATACGCGATGCTTCTGCTTCTTTCCCAATGTGCGCTGTTACATAATTCGAGTGTGCAGACGCATGAAAAGGGATAATGGACAGGCAACACTTCGAGTAACATTGTCAGGTGAAAGCGGAAGGTGATGAGGGAACCTCTGCGCTCCTTATGCAATGCCAATCACGATGGTGGGGCCGAAAGCTGCGACGGCTGTATCTGAAGATCCTGCTCGAGTCACATGCGTTCATGTTAGTGACCACGAGCTGCTAGTGTTATTTGATACAGACAGAGAACTCCATGTGGTACCTGAACAACGTGCAGCCTAGCTGTTTATTTGTTGGCGCAGTCGCTGCCACTGCGTTTCGCCGATGGCAGAAAAGGCACGAGGGCCTGTAAATGTATGCTTTCAAAAGTCCATTTCAATTGATAAATGGCGTATATTATTACAATGATAGGGGACTTAACGTCGGACCAGCTCACGTGCATAACAGGCATCTCATCGGTGGCTCAGCAAACGCCGCGCTTGTAGCCTTCACACGACACCATAAAGATAGTAATGCCGCGAGGCAATGAGGGGATGGACCTCTAAGCGCTCCTAATGGAATTTGCATCCTCTATGGTAAGATGACTCGAATAAGTCTCTCGAAAATAACGGAGCGAGAAGGCTCTTACCACTGCAGACCCGCTGGAAGAAGCGAAGAGATAATGCATGCACTCCGTCGTGATGCCCCTAAGAAGAGCGCGGTGTTGGGGGATCTGACCCAGTTAACACCAGACGATCACCAGGTATGAGCATGACTGAAGCAAGAGCTCACTGGTATACTTAACGATAAGGAGATACAACCGGGGAGGCCACCGGATGAACGTCGTATACGCCGCATCAACTTACTCTTGAAGCAACGCCAAGTGTTGTTCCGAGGTACAGGAGACAGCCGCAGTATGAAGAGTAAATTGAAAGCCAGGCATACTAACCGCTAAGCAACCTTCAACAGCCAACTACTGCGTTTGGATACAACTCGGTGCTTTTGGAGAGAAGGGGTATGCAGATAGTGGTTCTGGCTGCCAAAGGCGCCTGTTTCGGCTAAGGTTTACCCAGCCCGAGGCCCTTGTGCTGATCTCCCCAGGACGCCTGGGGGGATGCCAGTTGCTGCTTGGTTGGTACATTTATACCACTAGACGTTTTTTGTTTTAGTTGAAACTTACGACAGCCCCCCTTTTTCTGCGAAGATCTATGTAGAATTTTCTGTGTGAATTTCGGATGTGTATCTCTAGCTCCTTGCAGGCTGTCTATAAGAAAGTAATCAAAAAGTGTATATAGCGTTAGTACATGCCCCAAAGGATGCTTGAGTGTGCTTGTATCCTGGGTTGCCTCGCAGCGCTTATTGCAGCGAGTTGCCCTGCAGCTCATATGAAGCCGCTTGCCCTGTCTTGACCCCAGTGTGCGTGGGTGGCCAGGCCCGGGCCGCCTGGGGGCTGAAAGGGAGATCCGCTGGCTCTTATAAATTCTTATCTCAAGTACTTTGACCCCTTTGTAGCTGAATATAGTAGTGTGATAAGATTGAGGATTTTCGTTACAATCGAGGGGATTCTCGTTTCAGCAGTGGTGCTCCCGTGGGGGCAGCCTGAGCTGCCTAGACACCTGAGAGGTGATTCAGCACTCAGGGGCCCAGGTGTATGCGGAGCTCCCGCGTCAAGAGGTAGCTGCCGATACACCTGGGGGTTAGAGGCCCCTCCGGGGCCCGCGGAGTAGAGCTAAGGCCGGGGGGGTTGGGGGCCCCTGTAAGCTTATTTCTGCTGCTGCTTATGCTGTATAGCATCAGCAGAGGTGAGAAGAGAGAGAAAAAACTAAAGGCCCGTGCATGCAAGAGGATTGGCGGTGCGCCACAGGTCGGCAGCGACCATGAGTGGGGTTGGGGGTGTTGCTGCAGCAGTCAGGGGCCCCATAGAAAAGGGAGCTGCAGCAACATGATAGTAATGAAATATTTAGGGGTAGGAAGGAGACGCAGCAGAGGAAGAGACAGAGAGAAGAGCCCTCACCTCCTCTGTCGCCTCAAGCAACGCAGCTGCCAGCCCCTGTGCTGCAGCAGCAGCAGCAACCCCTTCCCGAAACCCTAAACCACAAACCATAAACCCTAAACCCTAATTTCTAAACCCTAATTCCTACCTCTTGACCACACAAGGAGAACGACCCCGCTCCTCCGCTGCAGTACGCCCGGGGCGGGAGGGGCGAGGGCATCCCCCAGCGCCGCCACCAAACCCTAAACCCTGGGCCCTAAACCCTAAACCCTAAACCCTGATTTTTAGCAGGTTTATATCTCCTCAGCCCGCGCTGATAGACTCTCTACAGCCCCCTTCTAGACCCCTTGCACTGCCCCTGGGGGAGGCCCCCAGACCCCGGCTCCGCGGCGTGCTCAGGCGTGGGGTGTATGTATACCTCAGCAGCAGCGCAGCAAGCAGCAGAGAAAGCTCTGAGGACAGCTGACGGCAGCTGGGGACCCGGGGGGACTGGACAGGCTCATAGAGGGGGTCGCTGTCTCCTCCTCTTCTTTCTGTCTCCTTTTTACTCTTTGCTGCTTCGCTGCTGCAGCAGATGCGGCCTGACGAGGTGCTTCTCTTCTTGCTGCTGCTGTCTCTGCTGTTTCTGTGTCTCTAACCCCTCGAACATACTCTAGCTATTCTTCTTTTCTACACAGAGGAGACAACACCGGAGACACCACAGTGCATATATATATATATATATATATATATATATATATATATATATATATATATATATATTCAGGTGTCTCTACATCCTCTCTCTCTTCTCTCTCTGTCTCCTGTTGTCTCTTCTGACTTCAGAGCTCGCAGACCCAGCCGGGCAGCGGAGGAGAGGCGCCTGGGGGGCCCCCAGGGGGGCCCCCGGGGGGCCCCCCAGGGGGCCCCTTGCCCCGTATTGCTGTGGTGGTACGCAAGAGGCCCCTGAGTGCCCTGGAGGAGATGAGGAGAGACATAGACCTTGTCCGAGTGAAGGGGGGACAGACTGTCATCGTAGACGAACCCAGGTAACATATGCGGTGTATAGGCAGCTCTCAGGTGTATAGGCAGCTCTCAGGTGTATAGGCAGCTCTCAGGTGTATAGGCAGCTCTCGGGTGTATAGGCAGCTCTCAGGTGTACAGACAGCTCTGACGTGTATAACTATTCAAGCAAGAGGAACTCCATTTTCTCCGTGTATACTTACTCTCTTATTCCCGCCATCGCCGCTGCTGCTGCTGCTGCTTCTACTGCTGCTGCTGCTGCTGCTGCTGCTCCTTCTGCTGCTGCTGCTGCTCTTTCTGCTGCTTCTGCTGCTGCTGCTGCTGCTGCAGGGAGAAGGTGGATTTGACACCCTACGTGCAGCGCCACGAGTTTCGTGTGGACCGTGTATTTGACGAGACAGCGCGGAACTCTGAGGTGTACAGACAGGCCGTGGCCCCCCTCGTGGAGAGCTGCTGCCGCAGCGAAGCAAACTGCTCTTTCTTTGCTTATGGGCAAACGGGCAGCGGAAAAACTTTTACTATGCTGGGGCCACAGGGAAACGCCACACAACAGCTGCAAGACCGTAGGTTTAGGTTGATATGTATATATATATATATATATATATATATATATATATATATATATATATATATATATATATATAT